TATCATGGTTTCGATTACGTTATTCAGTTTTTGAGTTGCGGCTTATTATCGAGCAAAACATAACAGTTTTAACAGACCAATTATTTGAAGAAAATATAAGCTTGAGGCTGACATATTTTTTGCTACCATCAAGTAAACGCGAAAAATCACTTTTTATGCTTTTAATTCTCACGCCACTGGCGAGAAAAGCACTACAATCGCGAAAATCTTTGAAGAAGGGATGCTATGTTTTTGTACATCATGCGACATGTATGTACATCACGAAAAAGTCACTCATTTCCGTCAGTCTGTCCGTCGGCCTAACCGCTAAAGCTTAGAAATTACCGCTCGGATTTTGATGAAATTTTCACCCACTGTTACTACTATGCCACGGACGAAAATGCTATGTAGTTTTTGGAAATCGGCTCAGTGGAGGCGAAGCTAAAGGCAAATCGGAAAAATGAAAATCGGTTAAACTTCCGTTGCAGACGACTCTCAGGCTACTGATCATCTTCAGAAAAATGTTTGTAGGAGTTGAAAGTTGGGAATGAGGTTGTAGGAGGTGGGGATTGGCATATCTCAGTTTTTTAATAATAATAGTCGTCTTTATTTATCTACAATTACATTGTAGTATAGCCAAGATTTATACGATTCTAGCAGATGTGCCCGTACATTTGCCCTTGAAAACTTGTCATTGAAGAACAATATTTTCAACATACGTGATCAATAGATATTTAATACGTATGACGCGATCTGACCGATGGATGCCTGTGTTTCGCAGTCGGTAGTGGCTGCCCTACTACCGTAACACAAACTGCACGGTTACTCAACAACGTTGATGGATGTTCGCAAGAACTTTTCTAGCGGAGAAGGTGGGACAATTGTGGGCAATCTGTAGCTTTTGTGTTTTTTGTTATACAGGTTCGTATATAACTTTTTTCTCAGAGGGACTATCTTGTACCGAAAATAAACCTTCATAATAACAACGTTGCGTCGGAAGTCAACAGTCTGAGTCGATAAAGGAATCGCAATGCTTCCAGCATATGAAAACGATACCAACAGAATAAAACCTCTAGCGGCTAATCAAACAAGATTTGAAAAATCTATCACTATTTCAAAAGGTATAGCAGCTTATACTTTCGATGGCAGCAGTGATATATCATTCTCGTCTAACATTCGAATCTACATAAAAGTAAAACGAAATTCAATAGATAAATTTATGAGAAATAATATTTCAAAATTTACTTCTAGAGTTCAGTCAAAAGTCTGACCTTTTTAAGAATAATGAGTTACAGTGCAAAGTTACTTTATATTAATTACAAGGTATGTACTATTTTGTTCACAAGTTTGACAACTCAGGCCCAGATAAGGCCTAGCCTCGAGTATTGCTCACACGTTTGGGGTGCTGCCGCCCCGACTACATTATCCATGCTCGATGCTGTCCAGAGGAGGGTGGTCCGACTGATCGATGACTCTCCTCTAACAGACAGTCTCGGGACTCTTGCGCACCGGCGGGCCGTCGGCGATCTAGCTCTTTTCTATCGTTACACCAACGGGCTTTGCTTCTCAGAGCTCTCTACGATGATGCCGCCGTGCGATGTGCCTGCCAGACAGATCCGCCTGACTTTGGCATCCCATCATAACCGTGTCGAACTTCGTACATCCAGAACTAGCCGATACGACCGCTCCTTTGTCCCGAGGGTGACGAGATTGTGAAACAATCTACAAGAGGAAGCTTTTCCCGGTTCTACTAACCTTAGGCAGCTCAAAAATCGTATTAACAAAATTTCTCTGGGATCATCATAGCAGCCGCGGTGTTCCGCCATTTAGGCTTCTGTCTGCGCGGCTGCTTCGATATGAAAAAACTTAGGTACGCGCATATGTAAAAGCCCTTAAGCGCAGTCACGCTATGCTGCTATAAGTATGGTGCAAATGTTTAACACTGAAGCTGCAGCATTTTATGTTATTTTTCGCTTTTCTACCGAATATTTTTGAGCTAGCCAAACGTTATGAATACACTTATTCTGGTACGACCCTTTGAACAAATACAGCGACTTTTGGTAGCATTTATTGTAAACATTTCGTGACAGACATGGAACAGTGGAAATACTATTTTTTCGTTATTATCCCTTCTTTCCTAATTATCTGTTGACATGCTGCCGGAATTAATTTTGGTGGACATAAATAAAAAGGAGAAACGGATTTTGAAGATAATGTATATTCTGATAGCACCTGTTTGTAATATTTCAATACATAGCAATCTCGAACAGCATCCTAGATCATATATGATCAACCACGCATATCATAGGAAAAGACAGTAATTTTGCATACAGGGACTTATTTTATTTATTTATAATCTTCCGTCAGACCTTACTAACAAGTGTAGGAATAGGTCAACTATATAACTACAAATTCAAATTCAGTCAAAGAGTAGAGTATGTCGTTTACCATGAACAACAACATATACATTAAAAAAATTTACATAGATAGATATTAGTCAAGGCACATGCTCATCACAACACGTTAAAATGTAAACACATTATGATCATAACCTGTATGTCATTATATACCACATATTCGAATATACTTTCAATATTCCATATACAGCTACTCGTCAATTTTCTTGTATTCCTTTAATATCACATTTTTTATTTGCAAGTTAAGGGTAGATCTACATTTCTCATCCACATACTTATTATTCTTCCGGCGTATGATAGATGTCGCTCGCAAGCATGATAAATGATGCCGAATAAAAAAGAAATTATTTTAAAATTCGGTACTGGACGCGATACCATCGCAAAATCATTACGGTCCTGTTTTATCTGATGGAATGGGAAATGGATTTGGGTGTTGTAAACGTGCCCTGCACAGGGTTGGCTTTATTCCTTCAAATGAAGATTAAGACCAATATGCGGAAGAAGAGTCACCTCATAGTTTCCTTATTATTGAAATGAACTGAGTTTGGATTGAGAACAATTTTTTTTGTTATAGACACTCTGATATATACAGGTCATCATAGTGAAAACAGTTTTAATATGTTACTACAGTAATAAACTTTCCATTTGGACAAGTAACAGCCACGTTACTTCTTGTATTATGATATAATAATTATAATTATTTATTATAAGATTATAATTTTCTCAACGCAAATTATCTAACAATAAATGAAAACTTTGAACGAATTTTGTAAAAAACATATTTTTTGACGTTCAGCAAAATAACTGGTCGTAATCTTGACGTTTTGACGATATCGAGAACTAGATTTAGGAGAGATAGAGAGAGAAAATTGAAAAATCCTTGGTTAGTCCTTGACTGACAACAGTTGCCAAAAATTAGGCACTAATTTTTTGTACATTGACCGTTTATTCAAGCTTCTTACCAGCAACACTAGTAACATGATATCATGGTCAAAGTGGGGACGAATGGACATTTTGGAAAAACGATGAGTCGGTACAAAATTAAAAACGAAGCTGGAAGTTGACAGCTACAAAATTATGAGTATTATACTAATCAGCACATATTTATACATAGTAAGTAATGGAATTATGCTAATTTCCAGATTCAAGGTAAAATATACAGGGTGTCCAATAAGTACCACGACAAACTTAAGGAGAAGGTAGGCTTTGGACTGACCTCTCAAATAACAAAAACTTACCTATATAAAAGTGTCACCGTTTTTGAGATCTTTAATTTTTTCTTAAGTTTTAAAAAACGAACCTTTTCATCTGTGGTCTTTAGCTGCAAGTACAAATAAGGTTCTACTTTGTTCACTTTTTCTATAAGATACTTCTAGATAGTTGCTTTATCATATACAAATGCAATGTAGTTAAAAGATATTAAGGAACCGTGATCAAATAAGGACTATTTTGGGATTTATAACCTTCTGATATTTTTTCCTCAACTTTGACCATCTGTGGTGAAACAAAAAAATGTATTCGGCTATAGCTGCATTATATTGAATAAAAAGATTGCTCATTGGATACAGACTTCAGAAAGGCACCACACGTACTATTTGGAATAGAAAAAAGTGATAGCCGCTTTTGTAAGTGACTGACACACGCTACATTGTAATTATTGGATTTAAATTTAAGTTGCACTGGTTACCGATTTGTGACAATCTAGATAGTACAAAGCTACATTATTACCTGCTCCTGATATGTTTTTATGAAAGTTGAGGAAACAATATCAGAAGGTTATAAATCCCAAAACAGTTCTTATTTTATCATGGTTCCTTAATATCTTTTAACTACGTTGCATTTGTATATTATAAAGCAACTATCTAGACGTATTTTATAGAAAAAATGAATAAAGTATAACCTTGTTTGTACATGGAGCTAAAGACCACAGATGAAAAGGTTGTTTTTTTTCTAAATTTACGAGAAAATTCAATATCTCAAAAACATTGACACTTTTTTATATGTAAGTTTTTGTGGTACTTATTGGATACCCTGTATAAAATTGATGCAGGCGGGGTATGAACCAAAACAGCCTTTTGACAGTATTCTAGTGCATCTAGCCAAAATATTCCTCCCTAGGATCATACTTTCTTACTGTTATTTAAGCTTTAGGTCGTACTAATAGATTTTAGAGGATTCACAGACTTTGAAATTTGTTCATATTTTAAGTTAGATACGGGTTGAGAAAACTGATAAGTGAACATTATTGCCTCGCTAACGCTAAACAAGTCAGAAACGATATGAGCGTCCTAATATCGAAAATTTCAGGGTTACAGTGAGTGCTGCGACTTTTCCGCTTACTTGATATCCATAAAGAAAGGTTCCCTTCACAATGCTCACTGGTAGTCAGTAGCAAATGTTCAAAACAATAAATTATTCACAAACAGATTTAGTTAGTTGCATCGAAATTAGAAAATAAAAAAGTTAAAAAGGCATTCTTTTCAAACCCAAGTACACCAAAACTTACAAAACAAGGGATACAAAAAATGCTGGATTTTTTTTAGGTCCTTTAGGCTTGAAGTATCACGGCAAGTGGCTACAACCGGCATGGTTCTGGCTGTGGTTATGGCTATTATACCACAATGTGTAGGAGTGTAGGTGTAGGCTCTTGTTAGTAAATTCGTGTGTCGTTTTGTTTTCTCTCCATCTTCGTTTCCTCCTGTTACACACGTATCGGGATGTATGGGCATATGTGACTACTTTTGTCGTTACACATGTGCATTTATTTTGGCTTGATAAAGCCAACAACGAAAAAAACGTATTGCTCGGGTTACCTACCATTTTTCTGCTCGCGTCCACATTCCTTCTTTTTTCAGAATTGGCAATTCTTACAATAACTAAGTATTGCACCTAATTTTAGACTGATAAGTATAATTCTCCTGTGCGAAGGTTTTGACCACAAAAATGTAAAGTCATGTTTAAGCTGTATAGGTAAGGAAACATCATTTTTTTATAGTTGCTAAACCGGCCCTGGTGGAATCATCCCTTTGCCTCCAGGCTGAAATAAATGAACACCGCATTGAATAAAAGCGGCCCTTTGCAGCCCTACCATCCAGTTATAATGTCATATCGGGAGAGAAAGAGGAAATATAATTTTATATATGGTATATACGTATCCCATACGCAGAGCTTTTGGATATATCGGATGTAGCTCTGGTATCATCATATTGATACAGGGAATCAGTCTGAGATCAAGCAGAAATAAAAAAATGACATTCACTTTATTGAAATTTATTATACGCATTGTATTGGGAAGGCCAGCTGATCGTGCGTGGCGACTGATCCAATAACCACCCTGCGTAGCCGAATTTTGTTTAACCTGCCTAACTTTGAGGTTTGAGATATGGTATGGATGCCAAAACCATTTTAGCTTCCCAAATTACGAGGTGTACTGCAATCTTAGAAAGAACGGGGAAGTTGTGGCTTTTATCCGCAGCAGTCTTTCCTGCTACGAAGATGTTTCTTTGGAATCATACCGGAATGACATTCCGTGGATTCGCCTCAACTCCAAAACATCATCCAAATTTATTTTTTGCCTTTATCGCTCTCCCTCGGACCATAACTGGGATAACCTACTTGCATACCTCGCCGTCAAGATCGAATTCCTGAGCATCAATCACCCCGCTTCAGAGGTAGTTTTTCTCGGTGATTTTAATGCCCATAATGAGCTTTGGTTGGGCTCAAGAAAGACCGATGAAACAGGTCGTACAGGCGAAGCGTTCGCTCTTACTCAAGGGCTGACCCAGCTAGTGACGAGCCCTTCCTTTTTCCCCTGCGCCTCGTCACATGCCAGTAGCCCTCTGGATCTCTTCCTGACTAAGCATCCTGTCGCTTACAACACTGCTGTACTGTCCCCTGGGTAACTCAAACCACGAACTTTCAACGTTTCAAAGTTCTTCCCATTCCGTCACATTAGCAGTATACAGAGTGTTTCATTGGGAGCGAGATTCAAATGAACAGTTTAACTGATTTTATTCAAACGTTTAATTGTTTTAAATGTACCTTTCCTACACAAATTAAATTAGGTACCTAAACCAACTAAATAGTTTAATCAAACAGGCACATGGTTTCTATTTTCAAGCGAATTAGTTTAGTAGTTTGAATTGAACTGATTCCAGAAAATTCAGTTTACTTCAATCAAATAATTTACTTACTTAAAAAATTTACTACAGTTGACCACGTTTTCCCAGTGTAGTTAGTTCGTGACGTATGTACATACCGTTCTGGGAAAGTTTCATTTTAGTCCAACCTCACAGTTATAATACGATTAAAATGTCAGAGAGGATTTTTTATCTATAGCATCTAAAACAACTAAATGTGGACATATTGCTGCAACAGTAACAGCTCTGTACAGATAAATCTAGATGCCCATTAAATCAAACGATTGTAATTCCTACATTTGTCACCAACATAAACCTGTTTATTCAAAAAGACAATTGCTTTCCCCAGTGCAGCAGTAAGATCAAGATAAACCCATTACAACAAAGAACGTTATTGGAGCCACAGCGTAATGTTTCAATAACAATAATCACAACCAAGCAGATCCAGATAACATTGTCAGCTAAACCCTCGGTACAGTCGGCAGAATAAAAGGAGGGGACTTGATGCAAAGATCGACCATCAATGGTCCCTAGTGGCACGACGGATTTACTAACACCCCAAGTTTATATGGTGCAGTGGTGCCGGTATGATGGCGTTTCCTTGGGTGTTACGGAATAAAACATCTAAAAAATTGTGTCAAGTACGTTGACTCTGCACTTGCTACACAACTTTGTCATCAATTCATAAAGGATAATATTCGGCACAAAATAGTCCCTCTTAGCAAAAACATGAATAGCATACAATTAGTCCATAGACCCCACACTAGCGGCACTCGTTAATCTAGCATAGCATTGTATATACGAATACAAGCGTCATCGCTCAGTTATGTCCCTCAGTATTCGAAGCAGACCGGCGTACGCTTGTTGAGTTGTCCAGTACGCGTATATCGAAAAAATATCTATTTGATCAAGTTTTATCCATAATATCAGATTTGTGACACTTTTTATGATTACAATACTTTTTTGCCAGTAGCGTAGAAAATAGCAAAAAATGCGTCAATTTCAAGGGAGATTTTTGCAAACAGATGCAACATGAAAAACGACGTATTTATGAATCCTTTTAATATATCTTAACATACAAGACCAAAACCAAAAGACAAGTGCAATCGATTCCAAGAGACAGTGCGAGGAACCTTCTAGACATCAACAAAGCTTCCAGTCCCATCATGACGTGTGTCGTAGTACTAACGAGGCACAGTAAGGTGTGATACAAAGTTGGCTAGTATTTTATCGTTTTGAAACCTTATACCTTTAAGGGCTAACCATATTCAAACAGCTTCAAAGAAGGCCCTAAAGTAGATACAAGCAACTATGAACCCATGCTGTCATCTGTCATCGTTAAAGTGATATAGGGAACGCTTCAATATATAGCGAGCTTCTGTAATATGTCAGATGTCATCGTTAGAAAGAAAACCAGGGTCTTGTACAAGCTTATGTCATTGGTGGGGTAAGACCATAGCAATTTGAAGAGAATCACGTTGTAAATTTTGTAATACTACAAAATCTTGCGATGTGCTATGTTATGCTCCTCGCCTATACAATTTATTGTTCTTCCTATCGTATCGTTAAATATCTATCGTTATTGGGTTTTCCCCTGCTTTTCACAATATCTACGCCGCCACCAGTGTTCCACAAGGACTGAATTCAACTGTTTCTTACATAGTAAGGCAGCAGCGGTGGCCGCAGTAGTAGACTCTTCGGTCTCCTGATCAGTCGCCGTGCGCTGTGCGGGTTCGAGTCCCGTCACAGGAGAAAGTTTTCTCTTGGCTATGGATGTTGTGATTGTCCGTAGGTGGTAGATGGTCTCTGACTGTCGAACGCGGAGGTACCACCCGGCGGTTCTCGTAGGCGGAGCCAGAATGTGTGCATGTTGCATGCACACGTGTTCCCTCGCCAGAGCCCGTGTGGCGTCCCCCCCGTTCCCAAGTATCCCCCTATAGCCCCACGGTACCCAATGGGTGCTTAGGCTTTAGGCCTTCGTGGTAGTTTGAATAAAAAAAAAAAAGAATGACAGATAAAATTCCTATCCAATTGTCGGCCGCACAATCACATGCAGCATACCTAGCAGCTTGAAAATATGGCAGAATTTTTGCAATTTTTCAGTAACTTTCAATGCTATCCCAATTTCAGGCGGTTACATTTTGAAACACTGCTACAGTTGCGTTCCTTCATGAAAAACCATCAGCTTACCAACCTTAGAGTCAAATGTACCCAGTGACAAAAAAAGAGAAGTTACACTTTGTGTGTCCAATGTTCATGTTTCATATTTTAAGGTTAACCTTTTGATATATAAGGTATTGCAGAAAAAAAATACTGATCGTGTGATTACCTTAGAATAACGAAGTTGGAAGTACTGTTTATACATTTTCAAAAAAGAGGCTGCTAATTTTCTCGGAGTATTAAGGTAACATTTTAATGTAGGTACCTGGAGTTTCATGTAATATTTTCGTAACTTTTCTATAAATCGGTTTTTTCTTCACGATCCCATATAAATCTCATAGGGATTATCTCAGGAACTGAATGGCAGCTTTAGTTCAAGCTTCGCACAAACATTGTATATGAATATATTTTGAAGATCATAGAGTACCAAGCATTTCGATAAATTGTGACCGAATGCTATTTGCATCATATTGACCACCCTTTCAGCACAAAAAATTCAATCCCTAGCTGGACGCAGGTATTCAGAGTTGGGAGGGGTTGGAAAATGGAGAGAAGGAAATTTGTAACATCCTCTTTGTGAATGTCAAAGGAAGATTTACTTCGGATTGGTAAGAGCTTTTCCAATACCGAATCCTTACTTCTTAAAGTAGATGCAAAACGTAGTTTATATTCCAACCAGAACCTTCATTTGAGCTATTGACTTATTGACATTCAAACAAATTTTATAAAATATTCACAATCTGGCAACACGTCAGCAGAAATTCACCCGCAAAATTATCGCAGATATCATAAAAACAAATGCCTAACTTATTCAAATTCGCATCGTTTAGATCTCGATCACATATGTTGAGGTTACGAGGGTGAGCGGGCTGAACTAACGCGATTTGCATGCTTTGTTACAGTTTTGTTTTATTGGAGGAATTGTGGGCGGGCGGTAAATCTGTTGGCCTTTCGTCTGTTTGTCGGCGCATATGGTCAGGGATGTGGTTATGGTTTCATTTTCCACGGAGGTGGTAATGGTGATTATTCAATATTACTTGCTTATAGGATGTCATTAGATTGTTTTTCCCGTTACGCAAAGTATGTGCAGAATGAATGCGAATTATGGTTATGTGGGGCCGTCGTTAAAAACGTTTATCTACTTGAAGTCCCAGATTTGTGCTAGTATAGATCTGTTTGTTTTCGGTTTTTGCGTCTATAACCAACCATGTATAATGTTCTTTAACGCCTTTAGTATCACCAGTACGGCAAAGGTCTAGTCATACTGAAAAACTCGGTATCGTGATGTGTGAAATGTGACACTGCCATCTGTGAGTAGTTTCGCCAAACGCAGGGACGCCTATGTAGTGCCGCGATTGGCACACCCAACAAGGCCATCTTTGTTGCACATCACAATACTGAGTTTTTCAGTAGACTCATATTCGCTTGTTTTCTTTGAGTCATTTGTCTTCAAATGACTAGACTCATATCGTATTGAAAACGGTTAAAAGGCATGAATCAACCGATACCTTCGTATAACGTAAACTTCGACTTACCTCTGGCCAGCCGCGATACAACGGCTCAGCTACAGACTTACCGAGTGTATACGCTCTGCCGTGAGTTTTCAGCAGAAAATAGCTCAATCCACGAATTTAACTGGCACGACGTTGTCAGCACATTGATTTGCGATTCATTCGTGAACAGTAGCTTTGAGAATGGATAAATCCTGAAGGACAAAACTTCACGTATCGTAAAGGTACCCTTATCATTTGATTGCAAGGTAACATCTTTTTGTCTCGCAAAGCTGAACTTGCACCTTCATCTTGCTCGATAGCCCAAAGTTGCTCTTGATGTCACCAAAGCGTTCGATCAGCTGTGGCATCCTGCTCTCTTATGTAAGCTTGCAATGCCAACATTGTTCCTCTTATCAACGATCTCCTGTCCCGTATGATCAACCTGATCCTAAGCTTTGCTGACGACAGCAGTCAACATTCAGCAATTTAGAGTGCAAGATGGTCTGTGAGATGGAGAAAATTAGACTAGCAGCGACTTCCTCTCTGACGGGAGACCTGGAGGTTATCACTGTTTGGGAATGCAACAATCGGCTACAGTTTGATGCTGTCAAAACACATGCCTGCACCTTGGCTAACAACAAGCACCGTAGCGCTCATTCGGTTTTGGTGGGTGGACGAGTTCTACCAATCAGCCGCTTATTTCAGCTGGTTGGAGTCCAGATCACCCAGGAATAAAACCTACGCGAACACATCTCATCGATAGCGGCAGTTGTTGGGAAAAAGCTCAATTCATTAGGACTAGAAGTGTTTTTTTCTAGATATCCTCCTCACTACGTACAAGGTACAGATAAGACCTAGCCTCGAGTGCTGCTAACACGTTTGGGTGCTGCCACCCAGATTACGTTATCCATGCCCGATTCTGTTCAGAAGAGGGCTGTGCAACCATTCCTCTGTCCATAGCGTATCCAGATCGTATAATAAGCAACAGTTTGATAACTCTTTAGCAAAAGTGTAAAAAATGCTAATACCGTAGTATCAAAGAGCCATGCCATTCCACGTTAGGGAAGAAAAATATGCAAAGAACTGAAATCTGTACAAAAATGCGCATTCGCCATCCCACTGAAATTGAATAGCTTCAACGGAAACATGTCAGTGATTATTTAATACCTGTTTAAATATCTAAAAGTATACAAAATCAAATCGGAAAACATTTTCTTACAAATAACGCGATATCAGAAAAAAACTCTTAACTTTTTCGTCTTCCAACATAATAACTTCAGTCGATCTCGAAATTGTAATCTTATCCCATCCATATAGAAATAATTTCAGAAAGTGTGACAACACATGCTACTCCATGCGATCTACCTATAACGTAAACAACTGTAATAACTTATTGCATGTTAATTCTGAATACTTTTGAAAACACTAGTTTAATTATACATTACCTAAGTATTTTTATCTCGCAGAAGTGATATGTTCAGTTGATATAGACAAGCTGAATAAACGTGATGCTGTACTTTTCAATATTTCTATTTAACACAATAACAAGCCCAAATTAATTTATAGGCTAATAAATATGTTATTGTATTAATGGTAACTCCAACGTTTTGTTCAGCATCCCTTTCTGAACCAGCTCTGCGTGAAGTAGCTGGAGAAATTTGATTTGGTTTCCATCATTCATATACAACACCTTCTCATAGATCCTGTTAACGCTAACACCTTTTACAAATGTGCTTACGTAGACATTTATAAACGTACAAGTCAGAAATTGACAGTCAAACCGATCCAGGAGACCACCATGTCCTGGAATAGTATCTGCGAAATCTTTAATTTTCACAGCTCTCTTAAGCCCTGAAGCGCAAAATCCTCCAAAAGGTGCAACCATACTTGCAAAACATGACATGGCAATGGCATGAAAGACAAAAGGATATGTAGAAAAGGTGATGTTCCACACTTTGTAGCTTTGCAATTGGAAGAAGTAAGTTGGCGTGCAGTTAGTGCTTATGGAAATGAGACCATTTCTTTCAACGTAGCTTAGAGGACAAATCAGATACCTCACACTGCAAAAGCAATGTGATAGAAGTATTGCTGAAATGAAAGTAGCAATGCCCCCAAAAATAAATCCTTCTAAGGTTTTATTTGGTGATAAAGATATCAGAGGAGTTCTTCCAAAAAGCTTGCCAAACATGTAGGAGAAAACGTCATTTGTAATAACCAAAACAAAAGGCATGAATGGCCAAATCAATCCTTGGAACATACTACGCAACAGCATGTATGATTGTACGCTGAATATCATAAGTAAGCAGTGGGTCCAAGCAAGTAGAGTGAATTGTTTTCTTATGGGTTTTATGTTAACGAAGCTAAGAAAGAAGGCTAAACCCAAGAAATATAAGCAAAAGGCGAGAAATCTATGGTAGTTCATCAAAAAGTCGAGCATTTGATATTTCCTCGTAATGACTTGAATGTGAGGTTGGAAGGCGTCAACAAAGAAAAAATAGTTGGCGACGATAACGAAGTACCAATTGAGAGTTTTGTAATGCGGTAACTCTTCCATCTTCTTCGAACGGTAGGCAATGTTGATAACTTCATCGAAACATCTGAAAGGAATAGAAAATTTTGTTTAGTTTAGTGTATGTCTTCTTTATGACAGAATAGAATTTTTGAGTGTACTGTCATAGTGTGGGAGGTAATGCTAATATATATAGGGTGTACCACGTAGATCTGCAGAGATTGGCTACTCGAAAAGATAACTTTAGACAATTATGAAGACTTGGTGTTATGGTAAAAGTGATATGAGGGATTCGGCTAGAATATTTTCATAATGGTGGCAGTGCCGATTGCACCCGAAGTTTTGCAGATGATACTGCAGTATTATATGAAGGCACTGTTTGTTCTAAGAAATGTAGGTAATTGAAAATGACTTTGTTAAAATTATTAAGTGGTTTAATAGCAGAAAATTAAGCTTTATTTATTCTAAAAGATAGTTTTTACCATTTGCATGTTATGCCAAATTACACAAATTTCTCTTCAACATTAATGATCAAAAACTGCAAATTAATAGAGTGCCAAATATAAAATACCTTGGAATAAAATTGGCTCTTCAACTACGTTGGAACAGCCATGTCGCTTATATTTCAACAGATTTGTATCGAACAAAATTAAATAACTTGCGAATATACTGACAGAAAAATATTTTCCTACATCGTTCATCACAAATCAATAATTTAAAAAGTATTCTAAAATGTTAAAAGAACCGAAACTATATCTGACTGACAAATTATACGCTGATGTAGAAATGTATAAGACAGCTGTATTTCTTACACAGTATCACTCGCTACCATAAATTTGTCAACACCAACCAAAGAATTAAACATAATCATTATACAAGGTAAGGTACAAAATTCGTGGCACAGTAGTTCCTCAGTCAGATAAATTTATAATTCAGCGGTTATATCACATTTTAATAAATTATACCTAAGGGTTTACATTTCGAAAATTATTTCAAAAGAAATTTGAAAAAGTGGCTACAAACTATATCTAGAACTGAAATGCACAAGCTCATAAATACAGACATCAAGTAAATACATAATCTACAAAGAGCAATATTTGCCCTTTTTTGTAATTTGTATTCTACAGTTGCAACTTAAAATCACTGGTCCATGTGCAGGCAATGCCTCCTATTGGGCCTGTTTTTATTCTATATTTATTTACTCATGTTGTTAAAAGCCTATTAATTTTTCGTATACTTTTGTCTTTGTCGAAGGATTTTTACATGGTCCCTTATAGAAGGGGTCTTCTTTAGTAGACTTCGTTAGATGATTTAATAATTAATAATACAGGGTGGTGAAAAAATTCATAAAATGTCAGGCAGCAGCGGTGGCCGCAGTAGTAGACTCTTCGGTCTCCTGATCAGTCGCCGTGCGCTGTGCGGGTTCGAGTCCCGTCCCAGGAGAAATTATTCTCTTGGCTATGGATGTTGTGATTGTCCGTAAGTGGTAGATGGTCTCTGACTGTCGAACGCGGAGGTACCACCCGGCGGTTCTCGTAGGCGGAGCCAGAATGTGTGCATGTTGCATGCACACGTGTTCCCTCGCCAGAGTCCGTGTGGCGTCCCCCCTTTTCCCATGTATCCCCCTATAGCCCCACGGTACCCAATGGGTGCTTAGGCCTTAGGCCTTCGTGGTAGTTGGAGTATAAAAAAAAAGCAGTCAATTTTTCCAAATAAAAACTCCCTTATATCTTATCATCTTAAGCAATAAAAATAAAGACAGCTTTGTATAAGCTTATCTACTTCGTGAATAAGAAGCTTAGGAAATATTTGCAAATATTACAATAATGTAGATTAGATAGTATCTTAGTAACACATTCCACAGGAACAATAAAGAAAATGATAAATAATATACCTATTTTTTATTTGATTACCGCATATCAATTTATAAATGTTCTTCTGGCGGCAATATGAAATTGGTAATGTATGCACCTATGAAGCACCGCAGCTTTCACCTTAACCATATATTTACGTTTTTGCGATAACCTATTCGATAGAGTGCCGACGTGGCAATTAATATCGCGCAGACGACCGAGGTCCGAGACTACGAAATGGTACTTCATTTTTTCTAATTACCATCTGTATTTTATGTACAATATATGTGTACACCACGTATGAAAAAATGATACAATATGACTCATTTTCAATAATTCACCGCGCCATGGCTAACAATACTGAAATAGCCACAAACCAAGCTAAAAGCTGTATGGAGAGATAAAAAGTGAGAATTTGCAGATATGTCTAAACTACTATTTGTGAAGTAGATAATTTTATACAAGACTATGCCTATCTTTATTGATTCAGATGATAAGATTATAAGAGCATTTAAAAAAATGGAGTTTTAGCATTTTGAAAATTTGATTTTCATCGGATTTTTTTGAAGAAATCAGTTAGAAATCGTTCGAAAAGGACAAAATTATACGTAAAATTAATAGGGTTTTATGAACATCCATTTGTGTTTTTCTACATGAAATTTGGTATTTATCAAAAAAGTTTGATGTCGGATGTTATATTTGGAATGCATTTAGAATCCTGCAAGGATTTCAAGAATTGAAAAAGATACAGAGTTTTCCATTTAAAATAAGCAACTTGGTATCTACTCCAGTACACCGTCAGTCTCACCATTTTGAGAATATTTCAACCGTATTGCTCATATCAGTTATACCATAACCTCAAGTTTTCATAATTATCTGACGTCAACTTTTATGGTAATAGTTCTAGGTGTGATATCCTTGTATAAGTAACTTTGGGCATCCCAATAATGAGACAACTATGACTGGATGGGTACAAAGCTGTTCTGTGCACTATAGCTATAGTATAGAAACTTAAATTTACAGTACTTCAGTATTTGCTTGTGTGGATGCTGCGGTTCAGATCACCTTGTATGGATGCAAATAGCTTGTTTAAAATTTTTTCATAGATTTATACTGTTTTTAGTCAAAAGAAAAAATAGAAGAGGTGTACGTATGGCGCGTCGTACACAACTGTTAAACGCCATTGAATACGACGACTGCACTTGTACTGGCCTACGATGTGTTATGCTATACTTTTACCTTCATGCATGAAGATTGTTATTTGTATGTTAATAACAAAGAAGTACCAGTTGAAGAATCTCGTAGTAGGATCTAGAAGTACTTGTCACTATATTTCGATGTCTTAAATAATGTTGTAACCTGTCGAATTTCCGTGTTAATGTATTTCCAATAGTCACCAATAGTAGTAAGATAAAAGAAGCGTATGACTTACTTTATCTGGATAATCACAGAGGTAAATAGTATCATTGGTGGACCCGTCCAGATTACAGTACAAAAGTATATCAAAAGAAAAAATCCTGCTATTGTTCTTTTCAGGCTGCTACCTTTAACTTTCGGTTCCGCAGGTCGTTTTCTAATCTGTTCTTTTTGTGTGATTTCCTCCATTTTCATATCTAGAATTAACAACATCGCTTGAAGCATTCTTAGTCGTCAAATACTTGTGATCTTGTAAAATGCATAATTGATAAGTCCTCAGGAGCCATCACCTCCGAATGAGATGTGCCTTTCACAGTTTCAATTGAGCCTTTAAGAGAGCTTATTGGCGACGAGACTAAGAAACGAAATACCGATACTTACTGTAGCTGCTACATTAAGTTACTCACCTAGAATAGCAAATTTGACAACCGTCAAAGTCAAGGCGACGTTAAAGCCCAGCTACACACACCAGCATGATACTGCGTGTCCCATGCGACAGGATGAGTAAGATATGCAGTTATTTCAGTAAAGACATTTATGATCAGTACCATGCATTATCATGTTCAAAAGAATTTAAGTCGCTTGAGTTTTGCTCTGCAGTAACCATATTTCACAGAATCAGTTATGAGTGATCTACCTGTAACAGACGTTGCTGTTTCCAAAATAATTAGAAGTAGAATAGTAGAGTGAGTAACGTAACAATTATATGTTACATGTGGCACATCTAAAAAAGAGAATTGGTAGTTTGCCCAAAAGACCATTTTTTTTGAAACTGCAGTCACACTACAAAATTCTTATATATCTGGACCTCGTGTTGCAACAGCATTATTTGATTTTCTTGTTTTTCTGCAGTTAAATGATACCATATATATAGAATTGACTCTTTACTGACATTTCGGTTACCTCGATGGCCAATGAACATGTATTTTATATTTACTTATCTTCCAGTTGACAGTTCATTTATTTTGACGCTACTATACGGCATGAGAGAGATGAGATGTTACATTAACCAGAATTTCTTGTTTTTCCTTCTATACCTTTGAGCATGGATGTGCATATGAGTGACATTATCTATTACATAGAGAATGATAAATAAATAGATGAATAACATGACGAACATACCAGATCCCTCTGAACTGAATCCCATAATCAACTGAAAGTATCATGAGAATATGAGTCCCAACACCTGGCAAAGGAAGCCGAAATATGGCCGAGTCATCCTCGTGCTGCGGCCGGGAACTTAAAAAGCAAATAACCTCTTGCTCCCAAATAAGATAAAAATCCAATTATAAAATATTATCAGCGTTCATCTAACTGTACGTTTCCCTCATTGCAGTTCCTCTTCCAGCTCGTGAATCTCTCAGTGCTCTCCAGCAATATCAGAGGCGGGACCCAAAATCTTCTATAAAATTAGACGGAATCTCTTTAGGTAGGTAAAATATTATAGGACGAAAAGTCTTGGCATTCATCCTCGCAGGGTCCAATTAGGGACCAGAAGGTCGGGATTTGTCGCGATTGTCCCGAAATTCCATATGATGTCCAGAGTCCAGGCAAAATACAAAATGTCCCGACAAATAAAACATCGCAAATTTTGATCTCATATGTTTTATTTATAATCTCATAAATTGACAAAAGATTATTTTGTTGTAATAACTTCAGAACCTCGATGTCTTGGAATCTTGCCCAGATATTTTGCACATCCCATGTGTTAACCCTAGGTCCAATGGAAGTTAGGTTATGATTATGGTATCAAACGCAAACTCGCAATCTACCAGAAAGCTACATTAAACTTATACTCAATATCATGTATATACTGAAAAATGCACAACAGGTCTAGGAAGAACCATTTCGGGACTTCGAACTTATCGGTAATCAATACTAAACATACTTTTGGAATAGAATTATGCCCTCTGGTGCCTATGACGAATATGTGGTAATGAGTTTCAATATAAAATATGCTTCGAAGTATTTTAAAAATAGATATTGTATGCAATTAGTGCGGTTTCAAAGCATTCCCTAACTCAGTCGAACTTTGAAGTTTCACTTCAGTTTCATACCCTACAGACTTGAAGTTTTCATCAGTTTGTACAAATGTATATGTACTTTTCGGGGCAAATTCAACCTTCGCCTTAGAGATTCATCAATTGAAACCTATACATCGAAAATTGCTAGAGCCAGACAAAATTAATAATCATACGTCTTTATTTCTTTACAACAAAATTGTAATGCAGCTAAGGTAAGACTTAAATGGCGAAATTTAGCGCCTAACAGAAGTCAGACAAAAAAAAATGGATATTAAACACAACAAATTTGAATTTTTAGGTATAAGTTACCACAGTAAAGCAAACACCGGCTTACTTTCCAAAGCAACGTACACCAGATTATAGAAAAGCAATGAAAAATTAGGAAAAACTGTTTGCGTAATCAAGTCATTGATATAATGACGATTTCACTTTTTGTCGAAAAGCTGGTACTGAGTATTGTTTGTACAATTTTGATAAATAATTATACTCGTATATGGTGGCAACATGGCATCACTTTTGCCAAAATACAATCAATCCTCCCTCCTCTGATATATGGATAGATAGATTGGCGTAAATCGTATTGTTAATAAATAAAAGAAGAAACACATTTTTAAGAACAAGCTATTATCTAGCTTCCAAAATAATGAACTAAAAATTCAAAAATAGCCTTCTCGGGTTAGAAATATGCGGTTTTATGCTTTCAACAAAGATAATGAAGATCCTGCATCTCAAGTTTTCAAATAAAAGCATGTTACGCCCTTTTCCATCTTGTTAAAACCTAACACACTTTTATTTAAAAACTTGATATGGAAGAGTTTCTCCACTGTCTAAAGGTTAAAAAGTATAGAACATCTTCCAACAAAAAAACGTTTTTAGCTTGTTTTATTAAGAGCTACATAAAAGCTTGTCTTTGAAAATGTATTTCTTCTTTTATTTCTTTTTGAATTTTCAGTATATCTAACATCTTCGTTAGTATTTTTTATATAATTTCCATATTTGTTCTTAGCAGAACTTCATAAAGCTTTTCACTTCATTTGTATTATTAAATGATAGATAGAAATGATATAAGATTAATCGATATTTTACAGTGACAGCTATGTGGAATGTAGATTTTGTAGCATCAGATTCAAAATGGCCGAGTTAATTCATTGACTACTTTCACGTGAGCCAAATGTATATACACTGAATACCAAATACCACTGATGTCGTAATCGTAATGTGTACGAGAGAGAAGCGCGAGAAGCGTGCAATGCGTGTGTTAAAAGTGATAGAAGCACCTCGTTGCGAAGCAACCCGAGTGCGCGGTCACGGATGCCATTTGCGCAGTCTTTCTAACACACACTGCACGCTTGTCGCGCTTCTCATTACGACATCAGCTAAATTTGAACGTCACCGTATAAAATTTCAGGTCAATTAGTTGGTTCAAAATTCAGGTTCAAGATTTGTCCCACACAAATGTACATTCTATCTAACAGAACAAGTTAAATAACAGATTGTACATAAGTTTACAAATAAATATAACTACGTCTTAAAAAGGTGGGTTGATAAGGGCCATTTTTCGCCCATAACACACTCAAAAATAAAAAGTTCAATTCCAGACTATTATTGATTTTATTTGTGAACTTCGAGACGTGTATTTTTTCATTATATAATATTTACGGTATAAATAATGTAATATGCTTCTGAAATTATTCCTAAGAAATAGAGTATTTAGCGCTTTTTGTACATTTTTGTTGTTTTTCGATCTTTGAATCATATTTTCCTTACCAATCGTTCCATGAACCATATTAACTTTAACGTTCAGTGAGTCTACTTATTATAAGCTTGTATGTGAGTATTTATTTGTTTTGGTTCAGTGAGCGCATCAATCCAAAAATACGTAACAGATGCTGCGGGCGAGTGTGAGTCACGCTGCAATCGCTTCATACCTATTCAGACACGATCTTTCGCGCTCGAAACATATGTTTCGTAGTAAAAGTATAGAAACTGTGCTGTGCTGTCTCGTTCAATGTTTACTGAAAAACTTTATAAACCAATAATGCCTGGATGAGAGTTTGATTGTTGTAAACCGTGGCGAAAAAGAAACAGTGACTTCCGTAGCTGCTCGAACAAAAATATTAAGGCAATACTTAGAAAATCTAAAAACTGTGATCTGCAGATTAGTTCTAAGATGTATCCTAAATGCAGATCATATGCATTCCGCTCAATCTCCAAAGACTCCCACTTCATTTTCTGTAAGGACAACAAGAATTCTCACTTGAATAAGTACCTCTGTTGATACTGAAGGATGGTCTGATAGTGATTCGAATGAAGAAGACAAGGAAGAATATTACTAGAAAATATATTAAGTGTATGAAAACTGATTATCTTTTATTATTGTTTAATGAACCTATATAACACTCAGATAATTATTTAATTTAAGTATACCACGAATTTCAGTTTTCATTTGAAATAAGTATGTTTTCTTCTTTGTTATGGAGTATACTTTTCATAAATATATGTGTCATATCTATTCGCTGATGGGCGAAAAATAGCTCTTATCAGCCCACCTACTTTGGATAGATTCTTACAAACAGCATTCGATACGACGATTTTTAGTGGGATGTTTGCATGAAATAGAAAGTTTCCGGTATACAATCGGAACAATTATTTAAGAATAAACTTAATTTTTTATCAATATTTCGTTAACATTGTTCTGATACACTGCTGAATTTCAACAGATTTACTACTACCAGCAGTTAAAAACTAACATACAGAGTGTCAGGCTGTGGAATGTATCGAGATGAATAATTCTCTCCATTTTAACATCGTCTGTTCTCCAAAAGTATTTTAATGTCTCCATGGTCACGTATTTTCCATCGACGCCTCTGTTCTAGTCGGTGCATCTCTCCACATCCCTCCAATTATCCGGCCATAATTTTTGCACGTGAAATTTACTTTTACTTTGTCGCGCGAGCGGAAAAAGATATCGTCCCGTGTAAATCTTCATAATTATCATTTAGATTGGCTCAATAATTGCATTCAATCCGAACTCGAGAACCCGTTTGAAATTGCGACCGGCAAAAACTTGTTTATGGGAGATTTACGACTATTGCTGGAGCTTTTAGGGGTTCTAAAATTCCCGATTTTCAGGTAAATTATAGAGTTCGAATAATTGTTTTGCTGAGGTGATTTTATTGAGACATCGGCGATAATATAATTAAATTATGTTTCTATATTTAAATTTTTTATTTACTTACATATCCGATGTTTTTGAATAGAGGGTATTCTGCAAGAAAGAGAGTCACTTTTGGGAAAAAAGTTTTGTCAGGTTTGTACAAAAATGGAGTGAACCATTAATATTATGCCTTAATAACTACCTTGCGTTTCAAAATGATATGAGGTTAAAGTGAGCGCTAAAGTTTCTTTAACATCCCGATGTCTTTGAACAAGGAT